TCATCATCTCTAAGTCTCAATTTTTGCATACCTTAAATAATTTACTCAGATCTAATTAACTTGCATAAACTTTCTAGTTTTCCTTCTCATTCTGGAAACATCCAGCCATCTTAGTTTCACATATAAACTCTTCTTTACTAAAACAATTTCACATTTTTATTTTTGTTTGTTTGTTTGTTTTATGAGACAGGGTCTCACTATGTAGTTCTGGCCATCCTGGAACTCACTATGTAGACTAGGCTGGCCTCGAACTCAGAGATCTGCATGCCTATGCCTCCTGAATGTAGTTTCCATTTTTGCATCTTTTTACCATTCTCTTACTTATTGTTTTCCTGTCTTAATACCATGAGACACTGTAATGGAGCCCCAGCCCTTAGTAGGCCCCAAGACCTTAGCACAACTAACTCCATGATGGAAGTACCATTCAGGCTGTAAAACACAGCACGTAGACAGTACCACCCATCAAAACCAAAATGAAGGCCTAACACATAGTTCTAGAAAAGTCTTTAAATGTGCTAACCTTGCTTTTTGACTTCTGTATTTCTGCTTCTGGCTAACTGTTCTTGTTAACTGAAGTATATCAACTCAGGACATGGTTTTTGTGCTTAAAAGATCACTCTGAGAAAGGCCTGGGCTCCACTGGGATCCTGAACTCCACTCTCTGTTGGCTTAAGCCCATGTCCAAGCCGTCATCTCTGGTGAATACTCAGCAACAACATAATAACATTAAGAAATAAATTAATAATCTGTTATGAAAACTTGCCCTCTGGGGAGAGGGAACTAAGCAATGTTTGTCTCCTCTTCATAAGGCCCCAATGACAAACCAAACTTTGGTTTTATCAAAGGTCCCCCTGGGGGAACCAATGAATTTACTGAACTTACTTACAGAGTATAGTGAAGGATCACTGACAGGATAATGGGGCTCAAAAGCAGCCACACTGGAAAGTTCTCACCCAGTATGTACGAGGGCTTCCCCATAGCTGCATACATGGTCCCCTTCTCCCTAGTCTTTCCCCAACCTATATACTTTAGCTCCTCCCCCAAAACCATGAGACCACATCTGATTAGGGCAGAGTTACACCAACTGGCTGGGAGGAAAGGCTGGATACTCAGATGAGGGTCCATTGACACTCCTTAGCCACTCCTTCTACTACAGAGCGCTTACAATCAACAAGCCCAGCTGTCATGATCTTTTTATAAGAATCCACAGTTGGTCTTATGAGGATGGCAGTTGTTTGCTTAGAGAATCCTGCTGTATAGTACCATCCTAGGAAAGAAAGCTAAATCCAAGCTATATACAGAAGATAATGTAATACGTTAGTATTACTTGTGTATACACTGTTAAGCTATGAGGCTTTGTAAGTCCCCAGATAAACCTTATAAGAAACACAAGACAATCTTTATATGTATCCATCCCATTGGTTCTGTCCCTTTAGGGAACCCTGACTAATACACCCTCCTGGCCACCCGAACTAGAACCCCTGCAGCTGGGACAGTGTGGCCTTTCCCTTTGCTTAATTATTTGGTTTTGATTTCACTTCAACATTTTGGTATTAACATGACATATATTTGCTGGAAAAATAAGTTGGAAGTAACATGGAAGAATGAAGAAGAAGAAGAAGAAGAAGAAGAAGAAGAAGAAGAAGAAGAAGAAGAAGAAGAAGAAGAAGAAGAAAAGCAGGAAAAACAAACCCCAGCCCTCATGCTACCGTGGAAGCTTTGTGGTGATTTATCATTCTGACCTAATTCCCTTGTCAATTTGCCCTTCATTTTGTTCTTTTTCATGGTTCAGATGATTCATGGACATGTTATGTGTTAGCTTTAGATTGCAGGGCCTCCAGGCCCCCTGGCCTCCCAGCTGCTGCTCGACCTCCTGGGGACTTGGCGGACTCATGTTTAGTCCAGAAAACAGAGCAGCTTGAAACACAGCAGCAGGGCTAGGGCCGGGCTCAGCTTGCATAACATATGTGAAGTCCTGGTTCTACCCCCAGCACTCCATAAACCGGCCATGCCAGAGCACCCCTGTAGTTCCAGAGGATCAGAAGTTCAAGGTCATCCTCTGTCTTTGGCTAAAAGAAACCCACTGGAAACAACAACGAATAAACCACATTAACAGCAGAGTTTGGGGCAAAATTCCCCAGGCTCCAAGCAGGAGTTGAGCAATGCTTCAGAAGCAAGGAAGGGACACAGACACTTTTCTAAGACCTGTGGGCTATGTTTTCTGTCTGTTCTTGTTCTGTGCTCCTTTGCAGTCTCTAAAGCGGTGCTTGGGCCACAGCTCACCTGGCCTGCTACCCACGGGTTTCTTAATAATGGTGCTGTTACTTCCCACTGTTAAGCCAGAGCCCCAGGGAGGATGAAAAGTCATCTGACTGCACATTGACACTCACAACTTACGCCTTACTTCTTTTCTTTGTGTGTGTGTGCGTGTGCCTGCCTGCTGTGACATAGTTTGTGCCATGCTATGTTGTTTTGTGTTGATACAGGGTCTCATGTAGATCAGGCTGACCTCAAACTTACTGCATGGCCTAGGATGACTTTGAACTGATGCTGCTTTTAACTCTCCACTCTTGGGATTACTGGCATGTGCTGCCATATCCAGTGTGTGCGTGTTTCTGTGCTGGGAACAAAAACAAATTCTCTCTCACCTCTATTCCCTAAACAATACTTATGAACTGCCATGTGTACTGATTCTCTGAACAGCTTTTCAACAAAAAATCTTACTTCAGTAGGCACTAGATAACGGTGAAAATCGTTGGTTCCCCAATCTTGCACAAATGTTTGTGTGTTCTAGGTTTTTGTCTTATCGTCCTTTCCACACAAAACACTACACTGAATTTTCAGGCCTCATTTTTAACACAATTTGTCAGTTATCAACTGTAATAGGGCCCTAGACCTTAGTAGCCCCCAGGCCTTAGCACAACTGACTCCATGATGGACATACCATTCAGGCTGTTAAACTCAGCACATAGACAGCACCAACCGCTGAAACTAAAACAAAGGCCTAGTCCATCAAAGTCCATATAGTTCTGGGAAAGTCTCTAAATGTGCTAACCTTGCTTTTTTACTTCTGTAGTTCTACTTCTGGCTAACTGTTCTTGTTAGCTGAAGTATTTCAACCCAGGACATGGTTTTTGTGTTTAAAAGCTCACCCTGAGAAAGGTTTGGTTCTACACTGGAATTCCAAACACCCACCATAGTCGCCGTCCAGCTAATAAAGACTTTCTATTGGCTTAAACCCATATCTGAGCAGTCTTCTCTGGTAAATACCCCACAACATCAACAACTTTCTCCCAGAGCATAAAAAGACTCAGAACACTAACAAAATGTATGATGCTTACTTCTTTTCAGTGAAATATCAGGGAGAGGAATGTAATTTTAGGCTCAATACATCTTGAATGAAATTATACAGTTCATGATTTTTGTCTCCTTTTCGCTGGGAGAGTGGGTCTTAGTTGCTGATTGGTGCTCAAGGAAACCATTCAATTCCAGAATGTCTTCAAATTTCTGTCAGCTTCAAAGTATCTCAAGTTGTTTACTGATTGATTATCACTGCAGGAGAAATGGATCATTACCTGTTGTGGTCATAATTAAGCCTCTGGCTCAAACATCCTCAAGATGGCAGCTAGCTTAGAGAATACTGATGCTTTCCTGGGCCATTTGCTGTGCAAATTATTCTGGCTGTGGATGGGGTTTGTTCAGCTATATCCAACATTAAAGACACTATTGTGTACCAGCAGGTCAGACATCCTTATTTATATTTAGTGTTATCAATAAATGCTGAGCTCCTCTGTAAGGTTAGAAAATGGACCATTTTAAACTTTCCTTCATGCTGGGTAGAACAAACAGGTGCTTTTCAGTAAGTCTAGTACCATGTGCTCATTGTAATAAAGTCTGAATCGTTATTTAGAAGCCAGTTCTGATCAGTATCCTGGGGGGGGGAGCTTGGAAACTCCTGGAGCTTGTCAATAGGAAAGAATAAGCCCCCAGCCACATAAGCAACCCTATCTGTAAACATGCTTCTAAGTGAGTTTGTTTCCTTCCTTGAGTTGGCATCCATTTTATTTGGACCACTGCTCTTGGAAATATTGCCTAGGAATAGAAAGCTACTTTTAACAGTAAGTTGGGTCTGGTGATACTGGTGCAATGCCAGCAATAGAGAGACTGAGGCAGGAGGATGACTGAGATTTCAAGGCCAGTCTCCACTGCAAATGAGAACCTGTCTAAGACATAGACAAAAAGCAGGTATTGTTTATCTCCTGTAGGATTTCAAACTGTCATGGTTTGTTTCACATTTGGTGGCGGCTGGGATGTAGCTCCGTGATACAGTGCTCTCGTAGGATGTTCAAGGCACTGGGTTGGATTTTTAAAAATGGTGAGTGGTAACCAATTCTTGTGCTTATGTTTTCTCCTATGAGCCTGGCTGCCAGCCTTGGACTTTGCTAGCTGCCTTTCATAGACGCCTCCTTTCTGCAAACTCCAAATCCTTCCTTGCTCTCCCTCCCTGGTAGCTTCTCCACAGCCCTACAAGAAGAGCGCTTCTCTGAGCCACCAGCATTTGATGGGAAGAGAGCAAAGGACTTCCCAGTTTGGAAGAGTCGGTGACTGTTAAGAGTTTTCATTACACGCAGAATGCAAGTTTTTGGTTAGATTTGAGGATCCGATTTCCAGCCCTGGATTGAGGCAGATTTGAGAGGAACTCCGGCCAGCACCACGGTCAGCGCCCGCTGACTCAGCTGGCGATGGCCGCAGCTTTTGTGAAGGGGAAGAAGTTGCCTCACCCAGCAGCCGTCAGGGACCCGGCAAGCCTCTCCAACTCCCTGTAGGGGGAGTGGCTACGATTCAGAAGGGGAAACCAGAGGGTTTGGGTGAGAAGATCTAACTTCCTAACTTTGTTTCCTAAGGAGCAGCACTCACTTGGAGCTCCGTGAAAAGTGACAGGCGGGGTGGGTCTTTCTCCTGCCTACCCCTTATCCCGGGTAAATAAAGACAACACACGCTTTGTTGCAGCAAAACAAAATGGCTGGCTTTAATGCTTCAAGTTTTCCATTTCCTTCCACAGGGCTTTGTTTGAAAAATAACAAAATGAGGTAAAACGAGTCAATCTCTGTACAGGACTAAAACAGGTGCTGGCTGCCGTGGTGGCAATGGAGCCATGGCGGAGGATGGATGGGGCCACCCTGCAACCACAGCACGACCATCGTCCTGAGGAGAGAGAGTGAACGCAGATGAGGGTGCGCCTAGAAGCATTTGCGGTGCACAATGGAGGGGCCGGCCTCGTCGTACTCCTGCTTGGTGATCCACATCTGCTGGAAGGTGGACAGCGAGGCCAAGATGGAGCCACCGATCCACACTGAGTACTTACGCTCAGGGGGGGCGATGATCTGCAAGACAAGAGTGTCAGGTGCCTGCGTGTCCCCCCGCCCCTCCGTCTCCGCCCACACCAGTCACGTCATCCACCTTGATCTTCATGGTGCTGGGAGCCAGAGCTGTGATTTCCTTCTGCATGCGGTCAGCGATACCAGGGTACATGGTGGTGCCCCCTGACATGACGTTGTTGGCGTACAGGTCCTTCCTGATGTCAATGTCGCACTTCATGATGCTGTTGTAGGTGGTCTCATGGATCCCCGCAGATTCCATGCCTGGTGCCCAGGAAGAGGCAGTGTGAGCGACCACAGAGTCAAGGGACTAAGGGCACCGGTGGGTCGAGACCCGGTATTCTGAGGCGTGAGGACGGGGGCGGGGGGAAGGGAGACAGATCCCGGTACACTAGCCTATACCAGCCTAGCGGATGGCTCACCGATGAAGGAGGGCTGGAAAAGCGTCTCCGGGCAACGGAAGCGCTCATTGCCGATGGTGATGACCTGCCCGTCCGGCAGCTCGTAGCTCTTCTCCAGGGAGGAGGAGGAGGCAGCGGTGGCCATCTCATTCTCGAAGTCCAGGGCCACATAGCACAGCTTCTCTTTGATGTCGCGCACGATCTCACGTTCAGCTGCAGGGGCAGAAGCAGTAGGGAAGTTTCAGGGCAAGGCCTGGGGCGCATGCTCGCCCTCCGTGGCCCGCCCTAAGCGGGCGTTGGAAGCACGCACCTGTGGTCACGAAGGAATAGCCACGCTCGGTGAGGATCTTCATCAGGTAATCAGTGAGATCACGCCCGGCCAGGTCCAGACGCATGATGGCGTGTGGCAAGGCATAGCCCTCATAGATGGGCACGTTGTGGGTGACACCGTCCCCAGAATCCAGCACGATGCCTGCGAGGGGGAGGGGCGTGCATAAGCGGAGGGGACCAGCAGGGAGAGCAGGGACAGCACTGGGATCGGAAAGTGGACATCAGGGATTGGATGGGTATGGTGCAGGGCACAGAACCAGGAGGTGGGCTGGGACGACATTATGTTGGGACAACACTACCTGGCCTAGAGTGGGCCATATGTGGGCACTTACCGGTGGTACGGCCAGAGGCATAAAGGGACAGCACCGCCTGAATGGCCACATACATGGCAGGCACGTTGAAGGTCTCAAACATGATTTGGGTCATCTTCTCGCGGTTAGCTTTGGGGTTCAAGGGAGCCTCGGTGAGCAGGGTCGGGTGCTCCTCAGGGGCCACACGAAGCTCATTGTAGAAGGTGTGGTGCCAGATCTTCTCCATGTCGTCCCAGTTGGTGATGATGCCATGCTCGATGGGGTACTTCAGGGTCAGGATACCTCGCTTGCTCTGGGCCTCATCGCCCACGTAGGAGTCCTTCTGACCCATACCCACCATGACACCCTGTAGGTGGAGACATCAGACACTTGTTACTACAGATGGAGGGAAAAACGGGCTGTACTCAGTGAAGCTACCCTTCCCTGGCAGCAGACTGACCTGGTGTCGGGGGCGGCCCACAATAGATGGGAACACAGCCCTGGGGGCGTCATCCCCGGCAAAGCCGGCTTTCACCAGGCCAGAGCCATTGTCGCACACGAGGGCGGTGGTCTCGTCTTCGTCGCACATGGTGTCTAGTTTCTGCAAGGACAAGGCCATAGTGTGTGTGAGCATCGGTGTGTGTGTGGTGGGGGCTAGGGTGATCCAGAGACTCCTTTCCCCCAGCCCCTTGCAGAGGGCCAGAGGATGCTGTCCCAGTCCAAGGCTGTGCTTTTGCTAAGGGAAGCACCGTCTGTGGACCACACTAAGTCTTCCAACTAGGTATGCAGGGGACATCTGGAGACATGAGGCCCTCTACCTTCACCCCACAGCTGGCACTAACTAATGCTATCCTCTCTACTTCCCGATGTCATCTGTGAAGGAGACATTAAGGCCCACTGCTAACCTGCCTGTCCTGTGAGAGGGTGGAGGACGCTGCCCAGAGAGGGCAATACTGTCCCAACTATGGAGAAGCTTCCTGTTTGAATACCCACAATATTCCAAAGTCAGAAAGGACACTTCCACCTGTCTCCTAGTCCGGAGATTAGCTAGGCCTTGCTGGCTTTAGAAAAGTCTTAGACTCAGAGGGAGTTGCGCCAAGGCTAAGACAATGCTGAATGTCTCCAAACACATCTTCAAATCAGTCTCCCAGGGCCTGGGGTGTAGCTCTACGAATCCAGATTTGGTCCCAGCAGAGAAAGAGTAAGAAGGAAGGAGGGATGAAAGGAGGGAAGGAAAAAAGATATTTCAGGGAGAGAAATCTCAAGCAGCCAAGGCTGGCACGTGGCTCAGTAGCAGAGCACCGGCTTGCTCACTTGCAGGAGGCCCTGGATTTAGTCCTCAGGGAGGGGGAAGGCGGGATGTGGGGGTGGTGATGGGTAGATATCAGAGCTTCAGGCATATCCTAAATGCCAAGTCAGCAGCTCAAATGGTCTGGAGATGAGTTTGGAGAAATTTCCAGAGCCAAGTTTCCTCTTTAAACCGTCTGCCTCTAGGGCAGAGTGTGATGCTAGACACAGGCCCAAGGCTAAACAGCTTGATCGGCTGGGTCCTCCAGGGCACCCTCCCCACCTCCACCCTACCTGCTGCTCTGACTCTGGCCCTGGATGCCGAGGGTGGGATGTGAGGCTTCACGTCCTGTGACTGCCTGTCCCCTAGCTCAGGTTTTTATATAGTCCCTGGGAGCTCTCCCTACACCGCCCCGAAGGAATGTTGCTGCCCTTCCCAAGCCATATTTGGGTGTCGGGCACTAGAGTCCCTTCCTTCGGCTGGTTCTCAGCCTGGGTCCCCGCCCGGGTCTTCTGCACTGACCAAAGAAGGAGAGGACTGGCCCTGGCCCAGGTAGCTAGGACCGGACCGGGCCATATATGGAGAGTATCCTCAGCTGTCTGCCCCTCCCAACTGGCTCCAATGCTCACTGCAGGGATGGGCTGGGCCAAAGGTCACTGTTTTTGCAGATGACTGCTCTGCATTTCCCAAACTCTACCTGTTTCAAAGGTCTCCCCAGCTCTGCCCACCCTGGGCACATGAGCCGCTGAGAAGGTACCTGATTCCTGACGTGACACATTACACCCCATTTATGGGTTAACTCAGGCTACCAAGCCCTGGTGCTTAAGCCCAAGCCCTGTGATCAGGTGAGCTGGGAGGGGTCACAGGCCCCAGGTAGGGATGGAAAATAAGCCGCATTTGAACTTCATTTTCTTTCCCACTTCAAAACCCGCCCCCCCCCAAATCCAGAGATCTGACCCCACCCCACCCCACCCCCCACTCCGTGCAGGCTGTCAGTCAGTGTAGGACATGCAGCTGTCACAGGGCAGACAACTGTTGGAGAGAGGAGGAGGCGGTGGTGAGAGGAGCCCTGGGGGCTTTGTGGCCCTGACACATGGCATGTGAGACCAGGGCATTAGAGCTGTCCCCTCCGTTCTGCAGTGCACTCTTGGAAAGAATAGAGGGGTCAGTCTGTGTGTGTGTGTGTGTGTGTGTGTGTGTGTGTGTGTGTGTGTGTGTGTGTGAGACCAGGGCATTAGAGCTGTCCCCTACATTCTGCAGTGCACTCTTGGAAAGAATAGAGGGGTCAGTCTGTGTGTGTGTGTGTGTGCGTGTGTGTGTGCGTGTGTGTGTGTGTGTGTGTGTGTGTGTGTGTGTGTGTGTGTGTGTGTGTGTGACCAGGGCATTAGAGCTGTCCCCTACATTCTGCAATGCACTCTTGGGAAGAATAGAGGGGTCAGTCTGTGTGTGTGTGTGTGTGTGTGTGTGTGTGTGTGTGTGTCTGTGTCCCTAATTCCAGAACTGACTCTCATTTAGTTGGCTGGGTTGAGCAGATGATATCCCTTCCCCTTTGGTGGCACTGTGTCCCTCCCCTGGGTCTGAAAGAGTCACAGTGGAACTACCGGAGCCTGGAGGGGGCTGAGGCAGAGAGGTGGTGATGGAAGTCCCTTCTGAGGAGCACCAAGACCTTACACTGGAGCCCAGGAGTGGTTTCTCCCGGGCAGATTCATCTTTATATTTAGAGGATGATGCCTGTCAGCCCGGCTGCTTCCCATCCACCTTGGAGCCACCACCTGCCAGGCCTATTTATACCACTGATAGATGGGGATCCTTTGGGTTTCTAGGAGCTACTTATGGAAGGTGGAGTAGGGGTGAACAGAGGTCGTTTGTCTCTTGGCGCCTTTCTCAATTTGGGTAGGGATGACAAGAAAGCCCAAGACAGTGTTCTGTGGTCAACCAGACGACATACTTTGAGGGGTGCATCAGAGCCAAGCCACCATGGAGCCATTCACTTCTCTGATGGCTTAAGCGTTCCCAAAATAGTTGTTCACATTTGGAGTGGAACTCGGCAGCTGGGACAGGTGCAGATCCTCTGCTGAGGCTCCTCCAGACTCCCATACAGCTCTTCCTAACCTGTGGGCTGCACAGCCTAACAGGGCCATTATTAGCTCCGTGGCTTTGTCTTTTCCCTGCGCTGGGACAACAGAACTAACAAGCAGCAAACGCATGCTACATGCAGCTTTGGGGACTCATTTATTGGGGCTGTGAGTGCAGGGAGAAATGTGCTGGTGCCCTCCCTGGACATCACAGGGCTGGGCTGGAAGGACTGCCCCAGACTGCAGCAAGCCTGCTCATTACAAAGTTTTCTCAGCTCAGCATGACATTCAGCACATCCAAAGTTGACCTTGAACCCGTGTCTTCGTGTCTTCGAACTCCAGGAGACCTCCTGCACCACCCCCGGCACAGCAGCACGCAGGTGAGCAGGGCAGATGCACTCTCTAACCTAAGCTACACTCTCTTTTCCTTTCCTGACAAGGTCTCTTTCTCTGGAATCCTGGCTAGACTCGAACTCACCATCTTCCTGCTGGCCTCCCAAATGCTTGTGGGCAGAGCTGGTATGTTCACATTTCTTTTCTTTCTACTTTGTCCCTTCACTTCTCACCTCCTACTCAGAGGCAAACAGGGGAGTTAACAGGCTAACACTGCAATGGGCAGCAGCACAGGTCAGCTCTACCCTTCTAACCCTGTAGCAGCTCTGGAACCACAGAGCCCCAGGGAGGCAGGCGCACACGTGGAGGTCAGAGGACAGCTCTGTGGAGTTGGTGCTCTCCTTCCATCATCATGTAGACTCTGGGGATTGAATTCAGGCTGCCAGGCTTGCTAAGCTTGCCTGCTGAACCGAACGCTGGCCCCAGAAATGGACTCCCATGGAGCAAAACACCCCTTGTTTTAATTAAGGCCATGGTACATCTGTACATGGACCTGCCATCCTAGCAGGCAAGGAAAAACTTCCGGAAAGGCTTTGAGTGAGAACGGAGTCAAGGTGTGCAAAGTACTCACCATACCGCATATAAAACAAAAGGTCGTCCAATACCGTCCAAGGCCCATTTCAAAACAGAAACTCAAGGCTTCCTGGTTAAACAGTTGCTTGTGTATGTTTTCTCCACATGCCTTAAAAAAAATGTTCTAGCCAGGGACAGTGGTGTACACTTGTAGTCCTAGGACTTGGGAGGCTGAGGCAGGAGGATTGAGAGTTTGAGGCCAGCCAGAGCTGCATACTGAGACCTTATCTTAAAAAGAAGTTTGTTTATATATGTTTATATTATATAATACATACATATATATGTATATGCTGTAAAAGATATATACACATACCCATATTGTATGACATATACCATATATACACATACAATATATATGTATGGTACACACACACACACACACACACACACACATACACTTTTCAGTACATATTGCATTGATGTGTAGGTTCTTGTCTTTTTTTTTTTTTTTCGAGGCAGGGTTTCTCTGTGTAGCTTTGCACCTTTCCTGGAACTCACTTGGTAGTCCAGGCTGGCCTCGAACTCACAGAGATCCGCCTGGCTCTGCCTCCCGAGTGCTGGGATTAAAGGCGTGTGCCACCACCGCCCGGCGGTTCTTGTCATTTTTGAGATGGAATCTCACTATATAGCAGTGGCTGGCTTGGAGCTCTCTATATACACTATATAGATCAGTGGCTGGTCTCAAATTCAGATCCACCTACCTCTGTTTCCCAAGAGCTAGGATTAAAGATATGTGCCACTATGTCACATGTGGACTTTTTATACATGAATATATAGTCATTCTGAGGACAGAATGGGAGTGGGTGAGGGAGGCTGTAGTGGAACTGTAGTTAGCCTGGAAATACTCAAGAATATGGGACCATGACAGTCTAAGAAGCCATGAATCTGTCTTGAAGATTTCTGGCCCTTCCCACAGCATCCAGTCAAGAGAATGAAACAACCAAATCTCTGCCTCTGTGCCCCATACAGGCTGCCTGGGCCTCTTACTGGGGTTTATAGAACAACATCTATGGCAGACTGGCCTCAGCATTACAGTGTTTGTGAAAGGACCAACTATGGTGAAACTAGGAACCATCATGAAACCATTGACTCAGGCTCACTGAGTCAATACTGAGATTACAGTCAATGCAAGTACCATATTTGGTAGCAGTGACAACTTACTAATAGCTCAGAAAGCCACACAAACATCTTACTCACTAAAACACTTTCATTAAGATTCATCCATTACTGATGGGTGTGGTGAACTTTAATCCCAGGACTTAGGAGGCAGGTGATCTGTGTGATTCTGAGGCCAGCCTGGTCTACAATAGTGAATTGTGAATTCCAGATCATCCAGAGCTACATAATGAGACCTCTAAAATGTTTTGTTTGTTTGTTTGTAGATTTATTTATTACATATACAGTGTTCTGCCTGCATGTATCCCCGCAGGTTAGATGAGGGCACCAGATATCATTACTGATGGCTGTGAGCCACCATGTGGTTGCTGGGAATTGAACTCAGGACCTCTGGAAGAGCAGCCAGTGCTCTTAACCCCTGAGCCATCTCTCCAGCCCCTGTTTGTTTGTTTTAATCAATGCAAAAAGTGAGGAACATTTCCAATGAGTTACCAGCTGTCAACTCTCATGAGTTAAGACCCACTGTTTTGGTTTCTCAGTCATATAGTAACTCAGTAAAACCTGACATTCATTTTGCTAAGTAGGTACTTCCTTCTGGCTCTGTCCTAGAGACATCAGCATCCCAGAGATTTCTCAGTGTACCACACCCAGAGTCACAGTGACTCCAGAGACTGATTAGGGCAATCTTGAAAAACATGGTTTTCCTTAATTTTTTGAAATTAAAATATAATTAAATTGTTTTCCCCTTCCCCTGTCCCCTCCAACACCTCATATTATTCCCTGCTCCACTGCTCTCAAATTCATGGCCTCTTTTAATTGTTGACCTAACTATATAAATACAACCTGCTCAGTCCATAAAATATTACTTGTATGTATATTATTTAAGGGCTGGTATTGGATGACCAATTAGAGGTAAGGGAGCAATGTTTTGTTTTTTAAGACAAGATCTTGCTTTGTTGGCCAGAGTGGCTTTGAACTCAGTATCTTCCTGTCTCAGGCTCTAGTGTTGAAATTATAGGTGCATGTCACCAAACTTGACTCAATCTTACAATCCTCAAAACAGGCATAACGTGCACAAGGGGGCAGTGCCAGAGAGAACTGCATGTCTCACTGGACCAAGGGGGCAGTGCCAGAGAGAACTGCATGTCTCACTGGACCAAGGGGGCAGTGCCAGAGAGAACTGCATGTCTCACTGGACCAAGGGGGCAGTGCCAGAGAGAACTGCATGTCTCACTGGACCAAGGGGGCAGTGCCAGAGAGAACTGCATGTCTCACTGGACCAAGGGGGCAGTGCCAGAGAGAACTGCATGTCTCTCTGGACCAAGGGGGCAGTGCCAGAGAGAACTGCATGTCTCACTGGACCAAGGGGGCAGTGCCAGAGAGAACTGCATGTCTCACTGGACCAAGGGGGCAGTGCCAGAGAGAACTGCATGCCTCACTGGACCAAGGGGGCAGTGCCAGAGAGAACTGCATGTCTCACTGGACCAAGGGGGCAGTGACAGAGAGAACTGCATGCCTCACTGGACCAAGGGGGCAGTGCCAAAGAGAACTACATGTCTCACTGGACCAAGGGGGCAGTGCCAAAGAGAACTGCATGTCTCACTGGACCAAGGGGGCAGTGACAGAGAGAACTGCATGCCTCACTGGACCAAGGGGGCAGTGCCAGAGAGAACTGCATGTCTCTCTGGACCAAGGGGGCAGTGCCAGAGAGAACTGCATGTCTCTCTGGACCAAGGGGGCAGTGCCAGAGAGAACTGCATGTCTCACTGGACCAAGGGGGCAGTGCCAGAGAGAACTGCATGTCTCACTGGACCAAGGGAGGCTGGAGAAAGGGCAGTAACACAAACAATGGTGACTTCACGTGGAAAATGAGAAGAAAGTACGTTACAATGGAAAGAAAATTAGGATTATGCCTCCACTTTATATCATAGCTCCCAAATAAAGCATGAAAAAACCCGGCTGCCACAGATGAAACCATATGCACTTCAAGTTGATTAAAACCTAGTTTTTTCAGCCTCAAATTTTTTTATATGCAAATATTTATACAAATTTTAGAACAACCATTTCTACAAAGGTCACATCTGTCCTTGGACATAATACTCATAATTTGCTTTGAGAACAAACTCAAAGTAAGGGTTGGACTTCAGGCTTCCCAGCTGCTCTGCTTCAAGTAGGTCCTTCACCTCTGGCAAGTATTCGCTGAGCTGGATGCCTGCAAACAAGAGTCACAGTCACTTACGATTTCAGAGACTCCCCAGTGGGTGAGAGGCTGGTGGTCACTGAGCTAACAGGCCCCACACTGGAGCCTCCTCCCAGTCACAGTGCCTCCCTCTGACAACAGCCTCTTCAGAGCCACCTGCAGGCCCTCACTGGTCAAAGCAGCCACTCCAGGTGGGGACTGTAGTAGAGTCTGCACTTTTCATTTTCTGCCGTTTAAGACGCCTTTAATCCCAGCACTCAGCACTTGGGAGACAGAGGCAGGCAGATCTGAGTTTGAGAATAGCCTGGTCTACAGAGCCAGTTCTAGTTCCAGGACAGTCGGGGCTACAGAGAAAAACTGTCTCAAAAAGCCAAAAGACATTCCTTCAATGTGGAAGTTTTCAACTAAGTCATTTCTGTGTTGTCCTATTTGGGGAATAATGTAGCAGAAATACTGTCACAGAGCTGGCCACGATACTGTAAAGGTGTCACAGTTTAACCTGGGTGCATCCTTCCAGCACTCAGGATGCTGAGGGAGGAGGGTCCGTTGAATCTGAAAGGCCAAGTCCAGTCTGGGCAGCACAGCAAGACTCTGTCCCAAAGAAATGAAATCACACATACTGTAGCATTTCAACCCAAGTCAGAGACTAGAAGTATAGTGGGGTCAGGAAAGCCAGGAAGCACCAATCAATGGACTATTGAGCCACAGCAATTACAACAGAGCATGTAACCCCATTTGACAAAGAAAATGGGACAAAAATTTTGCATGAATAAGAGCATATAATCTGTTATATTACTATCAGGTTCTCTAGTTTTAAGGAAGATATCCTTGAGAGGAGTCACTTGTCCAGTAAAAATATTCTTGAAGCATTCAGCACCATCTTTTTCTATTTGTTATAATGATTAGTTGAATAATTCTGCAACATCAAAAAACAAAGGTCTACTGAGCAACTATGTGCTAGGTAGGGGCAGGCATGTTTTATGTAGATTAAATGATATAT